GGTGTTATTTCTGTGTCTAAAGTTTGCCCATTTGGGTCATACACTTGTGCCGCAAGTTTGAAAAATTCAACCAAAGGGTTTAGGCCCGAAGAACGACAAACCTTTAGGAACATATATTTGGCSAAATAACCTGCATAAAAATGTTTTTTCCTGGAGTACTGTGTCATGGAAGCTTTAGCATGACGCCACATTCCTTCGACGTTATTGGTGTGTGCGCCATTTTCCGGGTTCTTAAACTCTATGGAATGGTTAACTGTCAAATGACTATACCCTTCGTCTTTTAAACAGTTATAACTTATAACTCTAAAAACATTGAACCCATTGAAATTTAACACGGTTGAGTTAAATCAATTAAAACCAAACTTACCTTCCAACAATCACTGATTATTAACGTTCCTGGCAAAATCCATTCTTTAATAATAGTGAGTAACGTGTCTTTGTCACGCTTCTCTACCGGTACGAGAAAACAACGACCCGTTTCGCGTTCAACTCCACCAAATACCCACTGGCCTTCAACGCGATGTCCTCTGTGGTATTTTCGCCTTCCGAATTTGGATTCATCAATTTCAACAATTAACCCCGGTCCACCTATATACAGAGTATTTTTTAAATTGCATTTTTGTTGCACCGAGTCACCGAGCGGGGTCACTCGCTCGCTGCGCTCACTCGGACAATTAAAAACGAAAATATCCACCGGCTTGCTGTGCAACAACTCCCCAAGTGGGTCACAGGGTTAAGAAAATTGCATTTTTGTTGCACCGAGTCACCGAGCGGGGTYACTCGCTCGCTGCGCTCACTCGGACAATTAAAAACGAAAATATCCCCCGGCTTGCTGTGCAACACCTCCCCAAGTGGGTCACAGGGTTAAGAAAATTGCATTTTTGTTGCACCGAGCCACCGAGCGGGGTCACTCACATGCCAATTTCCATGCTCGCTCGGACTGTTTAAACTAAACTGAGTACTTAATCTTCTACTTACCGATTTTTTGGTGTCGTAGTATCATACCGTCAAATACGACTTCTCGGTGGAACGAGGCCCAATCAACAGATGATTGCCGAGCTATTTTAAGTTGATTACGAATAAATTCTAGTGACACTTTTTCGGTCCACAAATACGCGAATGTCACAATTTGATATATAGACAAGTGGGACTTTGAAAAAAAAGTGCACTTTCGGATTGATTGGTAAAAATTGCACTTCACTTTYTTTTTGCTGCTGTTGATATATGTTTGTTTGCATCGCCAAACGACACCGCCACAATAAGCTGTGCTAGGACACAATTCTAAAAAGTGTCCTTTATTACATTTTATGACATTAT